AAAAAAAAAAAAAAAAAAAGAAATCTAAAACAAACTATTAAATTGAAAAGCAAGTCAACAAAATGATATTTATGGTATAATCCCCTTTATATTTAAAAAAAAAACAACAACACTAAACTAAAAGGGTAAGTATACATAAATATACAGAATAGGTATAAAAACTATACTGTACATGGAAGAGAGAAGAAATGGAATTGGGGGGAAATAGAGGAGGACTTTAATTTGTTTTTAATTCATATTTACTTCCAAACTATTACCATACACATGTTATTTTATTTAATCTAAAAAACAAAAGCTCATAGACTTTTTCCCAAGACACTATCCCCATCTAGTGGAGAATGTAGAATATGTAACAAATTACTAAGAAATTAGTGCTTCTGATAACTTCTTACAGCGTTACAGAAAATTCAACAACTAATGGTAAAACTAACTATAAGAACTCAAATCCTAGAAGCTTGGTACAACAAAGTAGCTCTCCTAAGCAATAAGGTTTGTTTCCTTTAAAGGGCTACTTGACTTCAAGAACTCCCACAGCAGACAATGAATTCTATGTTGGAAGGAACTGAAAGCTGCCCAAACCCAGGTTTATCGGGTATCATTGCTCCTCTATCATCTGGGCTGTCAAGGTAGGTTTTAGTACTCAATGGATATTTATTATACACATTATATCCTACACTGGCTGGATGCAGGGGCACAATCACAGCTTACTACAGCCATGAACTCCAAGCTGCTCTCCTGCCTTGGTCTCCCAGAGCACTAGGATTACAAACATGAGCCATTGCACCCAGGTTTTTCTGGTTAAAAAAAAAAAAAAAAAAAACGTAGAAATTCATTTCTAAAACCAAATTATTCCCAAAACCAAATTAAAAAAAACAAAACATTATTTTCTTCAAATGTTCTGCCCAGATCTATAACCTCTAATTTACTAGATAAGACCAGCATTCTGTTCATGTTACTTAACACTGATTATAATACGAATTTTATATAAATGTTACCTTTGATTTCTGCAGAAATATCAATTTTTGACGCACTGAAATTCAAGGCCTCCAGATCAAAGCTATCACATTCTTTCAATACTTTGGCTTGGCTAAAGTAATCATTAGTATCACGTGGCTGAATCTCATTCAGAATCATCTGTAAACGGCTTGCTGATTCTAAGGGAAAGAAATGAGAGTATATGAAATCCCAATTCCACATCACAGCCGTATTTATTTCCCTTGGGGTTACTTGCTCTCCAAAATTCTGTAATTTCCAATACTTAATAATCAGCTCTATTAAAGGGGATTCAAAGGGCAGAAAATCACTTATACAAGGTCTTTATGATGCTTACGTATATTTCTGGCTTGGCGCCTGTGGCTCAAGTGGCTAAGGTGCCAGCCACATACACCTAAGGTGGCAGGTTCAAATCCATCCAGGGCCCACCAAACAACAATGATGGCTGCAACCAAAAAATAGCTGGGAGTTGTGGTGGGCACCTGTGGTCCCAGCTACTTAGGAGGTGGAGGCAGGAGTCTCACTTGAGCCCAGGAGTTGGAGGTTGCTG